GKTTGGCTAAAAATAATGAGATATGAGAGGGTGGACATTAAGTTTTGCAAAGGTCACAGCTTAATCACTCAAAGAATATTTTTAGCTATACTCACTAGTAAAAAAAAAAAAACCTTCCATCCACTCAAAGGTTTGGCTGGTCAAAAAATAATATTTTGGTATTGTCCATGGGCTGGCTCTCACTTTTCTTTTCTTTTCTTTATTTTTTCTTTATTTTTTTACTCTATGATGCAAACATCCAGGAATGTTAAGTATACACTGTATCTATACACTGATCTTTATATTGAATCTTTGTAGTTCTCTGATTTTTTAAATAATTTTTTTACCTTTTTCATTGTTTACACCTTCAAACTCTCTAAAAATGAACAGCACAGTCAAAATATACTAMCAATTTCAATCCCATCCTGTTTGCTTGAGTAATTAAGAGAAACGAAACAGCTGAAAGATGCCGTAGTTTATAGCTATCTTACTTGTGAATTATATTTCATTATTGTTTCCCATAATAGTATTAGGAGACGTAAAAACAAAACCTAACAGTTCTAACATTTTGTAGGTTCATGCATTTCTAAAAAGTGACAGTTGGGATACAAGAATTGCTGCTGGACAAGCAATTGAAGCCATTGCGAAAAATGTTCCCGAATGGAGTCCCCCAGGGAATCAAGTAAAAGGTRTACTGAAYATTTCAATATATCATAATATATTTCAGGRGCRTGTKCAGGGGTGGTTCCAGGGRTTCAGAAACCTCYCTTTTATTGGTAGACACCAAGMCTTTGATWTACAGTATGAGAATTTATTGCCAAATCAATACAAGCTAACCSATTTTCTGGATAGTTCAACAGTTATTATCATGGACTATCCAGTAGTTTGTTCAGTGTRAATCCAAAACAGTACTCTTGAAACTTCAAAACAAAGCTCATAATACCCCTGCATACTCCCCTGTAAATATTGTGAATAGTGCTATCCATGGAATAAATCCTAACCAAGMAGATAAAATCTATACAAAATCTATGGACTAGTGGATATAACTTGGCCTCTGGTGTCTAGTTGGGAAAAAGAAGACATTGTACAATGTTTTTAGACTTGACAGTTTATCGAATAAGCTCTTCTACTGTTCATATTGACAGCTGAGTCTCAAGAAACTGGCTCTGTCAGTAGCATTGAATCTGAGCAACTTGAATTCTCCAAGTTTGATATCAAGAGAGTSTTGCAGCATGGAGAACCACTTGTTGGGTCATCAGGTGCAGAGTAYGAATTGCCAGATGAGGATTTAGCTGGTAAGGGGGTGATATAACTGGTTTATATATTGTAAGCTGTTGTTTTTTACCACACCGTGTGTAAATTCAGCCCCACCCCTCCCCCCAATAATTTTTCCGACATTTTGAAATTGCACCATATATATTTTATAAAAATTGTGTAAAAACTAAGCATGGATAATTAAAATTGAAGGTTTTTTGTGAAGTCTTCGGGATTTTATTGATTATACCGCTGACCGTGTGTGTGGTATAATATATGTTTTGGATTACGCCTCAAAACGCTGGAAATGACATGTCCGAGAGTTAAAGATTACAAAAATTTCCGAACCTCCTCATCGCTAGCCCCCCCAAACAAATTCATGCTCTGCGGTCCCTGAAATTCTTGCAGGCTGATTGACTGATAAGAGTGTGTCAATACAATGACATGCACACTGTGCTGACACCATTGCGTCTTGCACACACACTCAGTTGAAAGAAGAATATAATGATTTCTTTAAATTTTTAAAATGTGGTAAAAAACAAATTGCACATTTTTTTCATTGTATGTCCTCTTGTTGTCTTCTTGTGAACCCAATCAATACACTTGTAGGTCCACTTGAGTTGGACATTTTATGATCATGTAAAGAGTGTATCAATAAGAGCTGCACATACAACTTAAAACTGTGCACAATTTCCTACATATCAATTTTAATTGATAATAAGATTTAGTAAATATTATTTAAAAATAGTCTCCTTCACGGTTACATTCGCCATCTTGAAAGGTAGCCATGCCTTTGCATTGAAGCGAGACAGCCGTTGAGCGTGCAATGATAGATACCTTTGAATAATTGTCTGTAGGTGTGAAAGAAGGTTTCTATGATTGCATGCTCAACGGCCATCTTGCTTTGATGCAAAGGCATGGCCACTACCTTTCAAGATGGTGCAAGGACGTTTGCTAGAAGTCTATTTGATTATCATTTTTGCTTGTTTTTATTATAGGTCTTGATCCCAAGGAAAGGTTGATGCACCAAAAGAGAATGGTCCGMAAGCGTCTAGGACTTGACATTTTGCCAGGTTTGGATGTGGGAATGGATAAGCTRTTTGATGATGAAGACTTAATCATGACTAATGAAGAAGTACATAGACAAAAGAGTGTGAAAAAGCAGTCCTCATTTGAGGTGGGTTGCTCAAAACGATGCAGAGATCACCACCTGTCACCTGTCACACTGTAAACAGTGGAATTTATACTTACCAACCCAAGCGGAGGGAGGGAGGGAACTTTCATGCACATGCTTCGATGAATAGCAAGCAAGCAAGCAGCAACACCATGTGGCCCTGCAAGCAATTGGGGGGGCACCAATTCAACCAGGCCATTTCATCCATATTAAATGGCATAACATGGAATTGGCTATTTTTACTGACATTGTGTCATATTTTTAGAGTGCAGCAGATGTTGTTAAAGCAGAAATTGCAGCCATTAGTTCATCATCTAAACTTAGTGCCAGAGAGAAAAATAGAGCTAAAAGAAAAGCCAAGTTGATGGCCAAACAAAGATCCAAAGATGGAGCTGACACAATGTAAAAATATATACATTATCATTTGTTATTATAATTATTTGAAATGTGAATTAATGCCCGAGCTGTGGGACTTTTCCATTTGACAAAGAAAGTTTCAAAGACTTTGTCTGCCAAGAAAAGGGGGCTCTGGAATCCATCTGCACTCCACCAGGGCATGCCCCGGATTTGAGATTATGAATATAAATTAAAATAATGTTTTTTAATTCACTGACTGAGTGTATAACTTCATATTGTGCAGCTACCATATCTAATAATGTCATGCTTATGACATTATTATTATGTATGGTCTTCAGAATTATTGTACAATATTCATTTTGGTAAAAACAGTGTTGACTAGGAATTGTTTTGACAGTGTTGATGATGATGACACACCTAATATAAAGAAGAGAAAAACRGCAAGTGTTGTTGTGGACCAACCTGCTGATTCTGATAAAATCGTCGTTGATAATATCACAGATGTTGCTGCCACATTTGAAGAGGTAAATCATGGTATTAATAGTAATGGCACTAATGAATACCTCTTTGTGGTAAAATGATTAATGAGCAATGAGCAAAAGGCTTATTATAATTAAAAGTAAATGATTGATTGATATTTAATAGCCTGTGTGCAGGAGTTATTCATCAGTGGCAGTTAAATATCATTCTCTTTTCATTATGAGGAATGACTGCCTGATTTAATTTGATTGACATCCCTTTTGTTCAGTCAGGTGAATGGCCGTTTGAAAYCTTCTGYGAGGAATTGTGCCAAGAGCTGTTTCACCAGTCATGGGAGGTACATAATTTACATTATAATAGTAAATGACATAGAACATAGAAAGGCAAATAATATTCAATTAAGTACCCAAAATGCCTTTGTTTTTAGTGTACCATTGGTTTATCTATTTCATAATAGAAATCAATATTATAGCTTAATATACAAAGATTATTAGTTAGGAATATTTGGATAGAAATCATAATCATATCTATTGATACATGTATTATTGATTGATTATAATTATTAGTTAATATYACCCTGAATTCATTTTAATTTAACTGGCTATCATTAATAGGTTCGYCATGGAGCAGCGACTGGTTTGAGAGAGATTGTGAAGGTCCATGGTCAAGGGGCTGGCAAGACAGTTGATACACATGTAAATGATGTAAGTAGGATGTATGTCAGACAATACTTCCAACTCATGGCATATTTAGGAAGGGGTCTGTGACCCCCCTGATGCTTTGCAATCATTTGTTTTTGGTTTAACATGATTTGTTTGTAGTGTTAAAATAACTATAGAGCAGATTTCGTATGACTGTGCAAAAACACGGTATTTTGGTGCTGTGACCGTACTGTGCCATAGCAGTGATGTATTGTTAAATTTTTATTTTCATTTGGAATAGAAGGCGAGGTTCCGTGGCCGTGCTGTGCCATGTCCGTGTTGTTATCCATGCCATTGCACAGTTATACGAAATCCGCTCAGCTACTATGACATTATTAATATTTGATTATTTGTAAAGACCCCAAGAGGCCTAGTTTGCTTTTCAGTAAGACGCTATACGTCTAATCACAGGGATTCCAAAGTGCTGTCTATGTAGGAGGTTAATATGTAATTATTGAATTTTTGTTAATACAATCATGTAGCTGCAGAACCAAAACATGAAATGGATGGAGAACATGGCTGTACATCTGTTGTGTGTTCTGGCTCTTGATAGGTTTGGTGACTTTGTGTCAGATGAGGTGAGTCTGCAGTACCTTTGTTTTGCTTGAACTAAATATGCCAAAGACCTGACTGGTGTTTCCTTCAACAATGACTCTATCTTTGAGTTACTAATAAAATATCAAAATAATAAAATATACAACCTTTCCAAAATTACTTAATTTGCTCTTATGCTAGTTATGCAAGTTATATTTATTGAAGTAGTTATAGGAATTCCCCCTGAATTAATCTTCTTCTTTCAATATTTCATTGACAAGGTTGTAGCTCCAGTACGAGAAACATGTGCTCAAACYCTTGGTGTGGTTTTAAAACGTATGGAYGTGGAGGATTGTAAGAGTGTCATGATGGCTTTGCTTACTCTGCAACATCAGCTGGAGTGGGAAGTTAGACATGGTGGTCTACTAGGAATAAAGTACCTTTTAGCTGTCAGACAGGTATCATTGATGATATATCATTAATTCATTGGCATTGGTGAATTGGAGGGTAGGTTAGGCTACTACACCCACAGGTAACCATGGGAATGAAGCTATCCCAGTAATGCCTCAATTTTAGATATTTATTTTAATTTTATATATTTTGTATAGAACAAACATAGGAAAACCATGAAACAAAATCAAACTAAATACTAACAAATAGCAGCTATTTAGAGACAATTTGTCAGTATCAATGAACCAGAATGCAATCAAGACGAATCCACATGAGACTATTTTTAATTCATCTTGATTGCATTCTGGTTCATTGATACTGACAAATTGTCCCTAAATAGTAGCTATGTGTTAGTATTTAGTTTGATTTTATTTCATGGTTTTCCTGCGTTTGCTCTATTATCCATACATCATATTAATCTTGAATAATAAAGTAATTATGCCTTATTTAGTGTTCTATCAGAACAACTGATGTTTTATTCATCAGTGTTTTATTGGACTTGTAGTCTGTGGTGCTTTTTATATCGTTATTCATTGGTTATGTGTTGTACAATTTCCAGCCCCCAACATTTCAACATTCAACATTTCATTATCAAAGTCTTTCTTCCAACAAACTTATATGTGTTTATCAATTCTTGTCAGGATCTAACAGATGAGCTCGTCCCTATGGTACTAGATCCTATTATTACAGCACTTCAAGATGATGATGATGATGTCAGAGCCTTGGCTGCTTCAGCTCTTTTGCCTGTCATTGAGGCTGTGGTGRAGCTGGCTCCAAACAAGGTAAATTTTAATTTAATGAAGATTTAGTGTTTATTGGTATTTTCTCGACTTGTTCTATTTTAATAATAGAGTAGCTGAATCATTGGCAATATGCTGTGATAGTTGCCTGAGAAAACTGGATGTTCTGACAAATACAGGAGAGACTCCTTTGCAGGCTATCCCTATGTCGGGATTCCTACCTCTCCCAGGAAACCCATCAAAGGTGCAGGCTGCAAAGGAGACTAATAACAGAGAACAGGACTCTAAAGTTTTGAGGAACATCCAGTTTCCAAGTAAAAGAGCAACTATAATTACAACGGCATGCCCAAAATTTAAACTGAATTTAAACTAAGTTTTATTCAAATACAAATATTTCATGAAGCTTAAACCTGTGATGCGTGATGGGTACAAATTTGGGACTGGAGGAAATTTGTTTGTTGAATTGACATTAAGTTTATCTAGTAGATTCTTTTCTTTTTCTGTCATTGTGAAATCATACCATATAATAAATAATTAGTGTTTGATTTTGTAAATGTCATTGAGTGTTRGTTGTTAACTTTAATTAATATATTTATGAGTTAAGCGATAATAAGCTTAAATTATTGGCTGACATGTATAAGAGTCACCAAAAAGTCCACTATCGTTGTTTTGATTCCATTACTTTATAATTATTAATATATAGTTAAAAATAAWACCCTATTCTTGTTTGTACGTGTAGATGCAAGAACTTTTAATGACATTATGGGATACTCTGGTAGAACTAGATGATCTAACRGCCTCAACCAATAGTATCATGTCTCTATTATCTGGCATTTTATCTTGTCCAAGTGTMAATATGGATCTGTTGGGTGCAGCTGGCTCATTAACAGACCTTGTCCCAAGACTATGGCCGTTTTTAAGACATACAATCAAATCYGTCAGATCTGCTGCCTTGAAGACCTTCAAAACATTGCTTAATGGATCTGCAGTAGAAAAGGTGAATCACATTTTGCACCCTTTGAAGACTGGACACAATTCCCTTAATTGAAATTATGTTCAGAAAAACCTATTAATAAAATGTAAAATGAAAGAACACATTAAGAAATAATAACTATCCAAAYTTTTTCTTCAGTGGTTTGCATATTKGATTATTTATCTTGTGTCAGTCGAACAGTAGGTACATGTACAGAGCAGAATCATTCTGTTTATTAATAATCATTATGATTATGCTTGTTTAAGGACTCCTCATATGAATGTCCTTGGCTTACATCAATCATGCAAGATGCTGTAAGACACATCTATCAGAGATTTATACTGGAACCTAATCCAAAAATAYTGGAATTTGTCTATGAGGTACTGCATTAATGCACCTTCTTCAMRGCCAATAGAGYGGATTTCGTATGAGTGGGAAACGGACAGTACTGTACTGTGACCGTAATCGTACTGTAACCAAATTATAGTGCCCCATTGGTTCACCAAAATTGTGAAGGCCAGGTCCAGTAACTGTGCGGTAACCGTGCGGTAACGGTGTCCCACTCATACGAAATCCGCTCTAATGCTCTGTTGAGGAGCGCCCGTTCTGGCAAAGAAATAAATAAATAAAACTTCAAGTTGAAGTTTTGATTGACAGGATTATGTTATAATTTATCTTTTATACATTCTGTACAYGTGACCAACAACATGCAATGTGCACCGACACCATTTTGTGCAGCAAAGCMTGATTATAGTAGTTGTAGTCCTCATACTTTTTGAAGTCGCTAAAACAGTCCTTTTGAAATGTTTTTTTTTAAGGCAGAATAGAAATAGTYTTGCTGTTTCCACAAAGAAAGCATAAAAAGGCCTTTAAGGAGATATTTTAGGATTTATAATAAGTATGAGGACTGCAAATACCATCATGCTTTGCTGTACATAATGGCATTGGTGCACATTGCCTGTAGTCTCCTCTCGCAGTTGTTAAGACGTTCATTCCAGTCCTAACAGCTGCGAGAGAAGACTACATGCCTGTTGCATGTTAACATCAGCAGTGGCAACCCATTTCAAGTACACTGTAGCTCATGTGTAATCCATTGTGTTCTCAGGTTTGGTGTGAGCTGTTGTCTAAATGTACCAAGTCTTGTATGGCAGCTGTAGTGGTACCATATCTGAACAGCTGGATTGGAATTATGATGATGCAACCTTGTGTCACTATTGACCCCTCACTATTAATACAGGCATTTCATAAGCCTAGACATAAGGTGAGAGGATATTATTGTTATTCAGATTTGTAATCGCCTTTGGAGATTAATAAAACAATTGGCACTTATTGCATTACAAAAGAAAATTGGCAAAGCATTCTGGTAGTTGTAGTAAATGACGTTGACATAATGCAAATCAGCTATTGACCTTTCACTTTTAATACAAGTATTTCATAAGCCTAGACATAAGGTGAGAGTATGCGTTAGTTAATGTTATAGTTAATTGATTTTTTTAAGCTTATGAGGCGGTGAAAGGAATGTGCCGTTTTGTCCATATTCAAATCAACATTCCAATGAAGGCCCTGCAACCTACTGTACGATATGAATGTAGAGACTCCAATATGATCATACAAGTCATTTCCTCATACAATCCTCTTATAATCACCCCTACCAGAGTTCATACTTCAACAGCAAATTTTCCTCTGCTCTCATTTGTTGAGAGTCGACTACATGATGCATGTGCATTAGAGTCTTGTTGCTGAATAATAAAAACAATAGAGCAGTTTAAATCTCAGGCATTAATGTTGTGCTGCTGTGGTGTGTCCTTCAATCAAAATCACAATGTTGTATTTTCTATAGTTGGATAAGAGCATTGACAAAAGCTCAAGAGGTCGTAGTCAACAGGTTGTTCAACCTACTTCTGAAGTTATAGCTGGAGCCCCTGTCAGCATGGATGCAGCAGAAAGAGATACGGCAGTACTAAGATCCAGGCTAGCAGCTGCTAAGTGAGTTAATAGAACAGCTAAATATAAAGTGTGTTATATATAACTTACAATAAGATAATGTGGAGAAGTACATAACCAGAAGTGTCCATCTCGCTAAGACAAGGACCAATCAGGTGCCGTGTTGTGCGCGCGTTGTGATTGGTTGTCTAAAAATTGATTATTGGGACATCTGATGATGAAGAGATTATTAGCGAGATGGACACTTCTTCTGGTTATGTACTTCTATATTGTGCTAATGAACACATTACTCTCTTAAATATGTACCAGAATGGTTTTTTGACAACAATTGGAAAAGAAGAAAAGACCTGAATAATTTTGAGAAAACAGAGAAAGTTTTAGTTTTATATAAATATGACAAAAAAGAGTACCCCACATTGAAAGGACAGAAATGAGAGCAGCAAAAGTGGAAATGTAGAGGAAAGGGACGAAAAGAAATTGTGGGAAAAAGTAGAATGGTATTTATTTTTACATTTTCATTTTTTCAATTTTTTGTTCATCGTTTTTGGAATTAGATCTCTTTTTAAAAGTTTCTACTCTATCCAATGCTTCTTTCAGCATTTTTTGAAAAGGATATTCTTGATTCTGTTCAGAGCTTTAGGTCTACTTGCATCATATCTTGCCAAGTACCCTGGTGGGATGAATCCAACACCGTTAGATTACTTGATCCAAACTTTAGCATACCCTTTGTCATCCACTTCTGGAATACAGAGAATGTCTGCTGCATTGATTATAGAAGAATGGGCRTTATGTGATCAGGTAAAGCATTAAAAGCAAACTTAAGGACCGTTTACACTTGCGATTTTTGCACAGCGAYTCTCGCGGTGATCGTCGCGCGACCATCGACTGACTTTCGATTATCGCGCTGCAAAAATCGCAAGTGTAAACGGGCCTTTAGAGTGCAATAAAAGTGTGGAAATAGTGCTAATCAAAATTAGTGCTGAAGAATACAGACAGAAGAAAACATGAATAAAAATAACATATTTATTCAGTACAATTAGGGTCAGTTCACAATTAGGGTTAATGTTTGTACAAGGATTAGGGTCGCCAAAGGGGATCAGAGTGACTACATATCAAATAAATTGTAGATGAACTATCATTGATAAATGATGTACATCAAAACTCGATGCACTAAAATTCTACTTTCGGAAAGAATGTTAATAGGTCCAAATTTCGAGTCTTTCTGAGCATCTATCCACAATGTAAACATACTATTCTTACATTTCTGAACTGATCTCTGTACACAAACCTAAAAGAACGCTTCGGTACTCTAAAGAACTACTCCTATCTGTTAAACCTTACTCCATGAAAACATATGGCTCTCGCTCTTTCTCTGTTGCCGCCCCTACTTTATGGAACTCTCTCCCATCTGATTTAAAGTATTTAAGAAACATTGACTCTTTGCTGTCCTTTAAGAAAGAACTCAAAACTTATTTGTTTAGTTCAGAGTTTAATTTGTTTGTTAGTTATATTAGAGCGCATAGAACAGACTTGTATATGCGCTATACAAGTTTTCATTATTATTATTATTATTATTATTATTATTATTATTATTATTATTATTATTATTATTATTATTATTATTATATTCATTATAATGTCAATTGAAGTAGCCAGTTGTAAATTACCTTTTATAGTGAGATTTACAATCGTAAGTGAAAAAAAGTAATAAAGTTTTCATTATTATAATTATTATTATTATTATTATTATTATTATTACTGTGACGTCATAGGGAATGGGGGATAATTATCTGTGA